ATATTAGAATTTCACAGATGTTTAACAGATGCATAAAATGAACTTGTCTTGAGCTGAGCTGAATAGAGAACATAGCAATTTATTTTCACCCAGTATAGGGCTTGAAAGCTCCTCAAGGTAGAGGGTTACTGTTAAAATTGTTATGATTAATAAGTTATGTGACAACTGAAAGATGAGATGGTATGAAGTTAGTTTTCGGGGAAGCACCTACATTTTCTCTTAATATTCAGAGCACAAGGGAAATGGTGATGATGATTTAACTCTGTGGAAGCAGCATCACATGACATCCAATAAACAATAAGAAAAGGAAGAAAAAGAACTTGGCAAAATACGAATAAGCATGCAATACATATGCAAGACAAAACTAGGTGAACCAACAATCATAAATCAGAGGTTCACAAAGTAAAAATAGTGTTAACATGCAAAAGGGATACCGTCAAATGATTATAGTGTTCTGACTTCAAGATAACTAAGAAAAATATAGCGATTGATTCCAAAAAGTGGTCTATTTTTATTGGTTAGAAAGAAATCCCAGCATGCATCTGTAGGATAAATTTGGGGAGGTCAATGTTTTTGCAGTCATTTCCAGCCAATTGGAACTCTGTGAAATTAGCATGACATGTCCTAGATGTAAAGGTCTGGAATGGTAAAACTAAGGAATAGAGCAATCATCTGAACATTTACCATAGAAATATTGATAGAGTAATGATACGTAGGCAATGCTGCATCTGTGGGTAAGAAGCTGCAGAGTCAAAAATGTGAAGAATGCATAAACAATTCCAAACTCTGTCAAAACTGAAAAATGATGTTTGATCACAAAATAGGGCTGTCCCAAATATGGCAACATTTTTGGTCTAATCTGACTTTAATAAAGGAGCATAGCAGAAGGAATCAGATAATCCCGGAAGCATTAGAATGAACTGGACATTTTTTTCAGCATCTAGATGCAATTATATTTGGTGTACTCTTCAACACTTTTTCTTTTAAATTCCTTACAGATTTGGATGGAGGCTTAAATAACATCAAGTCCACTAACTTATTTCAGTTGTAGAAGAGTAAAAAATAAATACAAAATAAAAAAAAGTAACTGATTAGAAAAACTCAAAACAATTCAGGAGGATTGAGCTTACAAAATTTAAGATTTTTTGTTTCAGTAAACACTACCCTGTCAGGAAATCCCCCACCCACCCCAAAAAGAGTCAACCTATGTCTACTTTTCTGATTTTTGTACAAACCAAGCTTATGTCTCCCTTTTTTGATGCTCATGCAAACCAAACCTCTTTCTACTTACCTATTGTATAGCAGAATTCAGTATTAAATGATCTGGAGAAGGTTGAGATGCTGTAAAGCAAGCCTCAATGAAAACTGAGTGCTACTTTGAGATTGCAAGAGTTATGGATTTGACGCAGTTATCAGTGGTCAATATCTGAGCTAAAACCAAAGCCAGCTTTTGAATACTAATTTTTCTTTCATACAATATGTTCTTTCTATTTTTCATTTCCTCTGATATGCATATCTCTAAACCTCACTCAAGATCTAAGAAAGTTATTTATGCTGAAGATCATTTGTTGAGCTCCCTTAAAAAACATCAGGATTATGAAAGCTGATTTTCTAGGCAAACCCTTGTTTTCTTGAAAAATTGGTGCAGTACAATTTTTTCTGTCTCTATTTCTGAGATGAGGTATTATGTACACTATTTACATTATTCAGATTATTATCCTCATCTTTGTCGCCACATTTATTACAACGTTTCGGCCATTGTATGCTCCGGCCTTCTTCAGGTGGTTGGAATGTTGAACTGAACCCTTTATTTCACTCACTGGGGTAGACTGTTCTAGTTCCACATACCATATTTAATGGATGTCAGTTATCAGTTATCTCCTGTTAATTTCCCTCTGAAAGTTCTCCACTGCCTTAACTGAGTATTGAACTCACACTCTTTAGGTCCTGTCACTGAATCTAACTAATGCCGTTATCCACTGTGCCATGTGTCCTTGAGGATATAAATAAAAATAAAGGAAATAAAGGGTTCAGTTCGACATTCCAACCAACTGAAGAAGGCCGGAGCGTACAACAGCCGAAACGTTGTAATAAATATGGCAACAAAGATGAGGACAATAATCTGAATAATGTAAATAGTGCACAATTTTTTCCATTTGCTTTTCATTTGGTCTTGGGCTATACTAAGAAAAATATCGATAAATATACAATGTACAATTCAGAATGCAAACTCTAATTTTGACAACATGACTTTTATGCTAATTATGTAATTGGATGGCAGAACAGGGAATGAAAGGGGATAATAAAAAACAGACATTGTGAAGCACTACAGATTTTTCGCTGTGGCGATCCATGATCTTCTACGTTTTGAAATGCCATGACACATATAAGACATGTTCATTTTAGAAGAACATTAATACATTTTATTTTGATTTTAGAAAAAACTGGTTCTCTCAGCATGGAGACATTTTATTAGTTTCTTGGATTATCCCACTTGTCTGGCAAAGAACTTCTGCTATATATCATTGACAAAAGCAGCATTTAAGAAAGAGACACAAAATCTCATTGTTTTTGTTTTTCACTTTAAGTTTACCTTAGGAGAAGGATGTGTTTTATTTCCCACTTCTCCAAATACCCACAAAGTGACATGGCAAGGAAAAGAAAAAGAAGAGGAAGAAATAATAAAAATAATAAAAAAAGTATTGACTCAGATTTTTTTATCATTGCTGAGATCACTGAAATATAAATCAATGTTTCATTTGAAGGAAGTGTGGCCTTTATCTATCTATTGTTCCCAAATTAAACACATTGATATAATATCTCATTGTCATTCTCACTGTTTATGATAATTGTGTGTATTACTTCAAAGAATCAACTCTTATTCCACAATAACCAAGAACCAGACATGTCCAGACTAATGTTTAACGCCATTGTCAAATTGTTTGATGTGTATCAAGGGACTTTTACACTTTTTGTTCTAGATTTGGCTAAATGTGTATTGAAGGAAAAGGATCTTTTTTTTTATTGTTCTGGAAGCTGATTGATTGATTCCTTTTTATGGCTTATCGACACTTTGTCGATTATTTAAAGCTGAAACATTTTGGATTCCAAGAATTTTTTTTTCATATTTTTTGAAAGCAAATATTGCATTAACAGTTTTAGGAGAAAAACAATGTTTTTTTTTTCCAGATGCAAGTTCAACTATTTTACCCATAGCTGTGACAGAGAAGATGGATTCATACCTTTTTAAATGGTATTTGCATGCAAGTGAACGTAATGAAACTGTAATTAAAACTCAGCTCTGTAATTTCACATTCTCAGCCACTTCCCATTATACCATCTTCACAGCCTGTTCTAGGGGGGGGGACATCAGTAGATGGTTGTGGTTGGAGGAAGAGTAGGTGAGGCTGAAACAGTTTTGAGACAGACCAATTTTTTTCTTTGAAGCAATAAAAAAAGAAATAAATTATAATAAATCATTTAACTTCTAAGCAATCTCTTTCTCTCTAACACACACAGACATATATATATATATATATATATATATATATATATAAATCCTTTTACCCTCAAGCAAGGTAATAAAGCCACTAAGATGCAAGAGGTTACTAAGAGAGAATGAAACTGAGAAAACATTGAGAAGAGAGAGGATATTAAAAGGTTAGGATTCAGGGAGATGGAGAATGACAATTGGCATTGCATTTAAATTTTTGAAGATCAAAGTTGACCTGAAAGAGAGTACCACAAACAAGAAGTGTGAGGGAAGAAACTATTAGCATAGAACTCATGCTTACACTTACCAATTTTAGCTGCAAAATCACACACACACACACACACACACATATATATATATATATATATATATATATATACATATATATATATACACATATATAAAATAAATGTGAATGTCAGTGTGTAACACTTTTTTACCGTTATTCCTAGAGTCTGTGGCCCAACTTATCATACCATTTTGGCATCTGGCCAACTCTGTGAGCAAATTAAAATCAATCTAGGCCAGATCTGGGCATCCAATCATGAAATTTTAGATTTACAAATTTTCATTACTGCAATTGTTTCAGTGAATTTTTTTACATGATTTTTTTGCAATAAAATTTTTTGTGTGATAACAATTTTTATAACTTGAAAATAAATTTGGGAACAATCACAATTAATTGTGAAATCCAGCGAAAGTCAAACATGAAATAAAAATTATTATTTGTACAGAGAGTAATGATCTACATACATCAAATTGTCTTTAAATTAAGTGGCGGCAGAAGAATTATCATTGGACTTTTAAGAGGTAAGCTTAAATATTGATGAAATACTTAAATGCAGCAATCAGTTTTGAATTCTTTCGTAGTTTATTGTTGTCTATCACATCCACTCTCCCCTACCTATTGTGATGAAGGCCCAAGAACCCTCCGGACTGTTTAGTTTAAATGCCACCCAATAGCTAGTGTCTATATATATATATATATGTATATATATGTGTGTGTGTGTGTGGTAATTAGTGGAAAGTGCTGAGTACCAGTGATAGAGCTAATATATGCAGTTTCATGGGCTATCCATGCAACTGCACACACATATATATATATATATATATATATATATATATATATTCATATTGTCCTTTTACAGGTATATTTCTAGTTATATCTGATATTTTGCATATTTTTTGCTATATTTCAGTTTTTACACACACAGCTATATTTGTGTTTGAATAATGACAAAGGGAAACTTTTCTTTACTGTGTTATGTCCTCTGATGGAGTTTATCTAGGTAAATGTAAGGATTTTAGTTTTTGCAACATGTGTTCAAAAACACTAGTAAAAATATCATTACATTTTGAAAATCTGTAAGCATTCTCAAAAATATTATAAAGGCTAACGATATTTTTAAACAAATTGCAAAATAAAATCTTTGGATTTATGCATTTATCTTGATAAATTCCATCAACACATTGTTTGGCAAAAATGTCTTTCTTCATATTTTGCTTATGAACATATCAGAGTGAAACACCAGATCCCATCTAATCACTGAAGTTAAGCAACGTTGAGCCTGGTCAAGTACCCAGTTTGGTGATCATTTGAGAATACATGGTGCTGTAAGCTTTGATGTGCAGGTGGTATAATGGATAATGGCTTAGAATTGTTAATCATGATCTGAGGTCTAATTCCAGTTGGGATCATCATATTCACTTATGTGTAAATACCCTTGAGAAAGATATGAATCCACCTCTTCTCACCATAGTTATGGGTTAAGTAGTAAGATTTGTATCACTAAATCACTATTATCTTTAAAAAAATTCATACAATCTAAAAATATGTTCTGGCTTTAAATACTTTGAAAGGGTTGATAAGCCTTTAAAAATGAATCAATCAAAATCAATCAATCATGTTGTCTTTTTACAGATATATCTCTATCTATAAAAGGCAGAATGTGTGTGTGTGTCTGTAATGAATGCACGGCTGCAATTTTCGACAGATTTGCACCAAACTTTACATGCACATGCTCCAAGTTAGCGAGAAGGCCAAGACTGACTTTGCATTTCCCAACTCCCTTCGATAGTGGAAATAATTGATTTTTTCATGCTTCTACAGCAGTTTTCATGTAGTTTGCGGCCGTTTTCTACTGGCCAGAGTGAGAGCCTATAGCTGGCTGCCACGAATAGGCAGGAAGATTCTATTGGCCAGCGTGAGAGCCAACAGCTGACTGACACAAATGTTAACTAGCATGCAAAAAAAAATCGAGAATTGCATTCATCACAAGTGGGAAAAATTTAAATCTGCATGGCACTTTACTCCAATTGGCTCATTTGCTTGCTTAAACTCAATGTTGATTCTGATTCTGCTGAACTGTGTTGGGTGTGAAAAAGTATTTGTTGTTAACATTCTTTTTTCATTCGGTTTTTCCAGTTACGAGTCCTTTTTTAAAGCTGATCGTTTTGTGTTCATTTTTTTTAGTTCTTTTTTTGTAACAGATTTAATGTTTAGTATAGAGCTTAGGAAAAATATGCAGTTAGAGATAGGCAAGAAGTAAGGCATGTAGCAACATCAGCACGGCAAAGGGCACTCTTTTAATGGCAAAGAAGGGCAAAAATATTTTAAGTCAAGAGATAGCAATTGCTGAATGAGTCGTACAATTTTTGAATCAAGCACAGGCAACGCTGCTAGCTTTATTCTAAAATTTTGTACACACATATATATGTAGATACATATTCTTTGTATTTAGGCAGCAAACACTTCAAGGCAAATACTATTGATATATATATAGATATATATATGCTCGGTGACATTTTCTTTGTTCTGACAACAGCAAATCGTTTGGAAAATTCTCATGAGTTGAATGATGAAAAAACTGATTCCACAAATGAAATGAGTACAACAATAATAATTAATTTAAAGACTTAGATCTGAATAGCTTGTAAGAATAATAAGGAGCTAATAAAACATAACATTATTTTTGATGATATGGGTAAACTATTTTTAATATAAGATTGTACTTGTCATAAAGTACAGGAGCTGTGTGTTATTATTTCTATGTCATAAGGTAATTCCCAAGAGTTACTACATATCAAAAATCAGAAAATATATTTCAAGGTTCACATGTGAAAACCTTCCATTAATAGAAAAGACTTGGGGGAGTTACCTGAAACTGCATTATGCCATTGAACATAGAATAGGATTGACCAGATATATAGTTTCACACAATACAACAAATTGTTACAGAACCAAATCATCACCATGAAAACTCAATTTATGTTCTTAAATAGCCTGGTCAGATCAAGACTTTCATATGAATGCCCTGCTTAGTGCCAAACCGATTTAGAAATATCTACATTGTCAGTTGTATGCAACCATTTTCTAAGATTCACATTGTGGACTGGTGCTACAGAATCAGAAGCAAAGAACTGTACCAAATAGCAAAAACCACATCACTTGAAGACTATCAACAGCAGCAACAACTAAAATGGATAGCACATTGTAAGTAAAATTAGGACCAAACAATAGGAAGGGAACGGGTTGGCCTGGCACCGCCTACATCTGGAAGAAACAAAACTCCTCAGCTTCAAGACAGGTTGCTCAAAACTATTTAGCTACAAAACTCCACTGATCTTTCCACTCAATTATTCAAACACTGCCTCGTAGTTCGCTACACACAAACTGCCGAGTGGTCTCCCGTCGTCACATTTATGCCAGCGAACACCAACCAATTTGCATACGGCCAAGTTCACCTCTCGCCAATTCTTGCAGCTACGAGATCGTGTTTCCCATAAGTCCGACTCACCGTAATGGCGGTGTATCTTCCTTCGGATCAATTACTGCCCTGCACGCCAGACACAAACGAACCCTCTTATGTCGAGAGCTAAGGTTAGTCTCACTTTCATGCCCACACACATGTAACTCAGAGAGAAAATAGTGGCATCATTAAGTTACTGACATTACACACTACTTCAAATAAGAGGTTAGGAAGGAACTTTCCCCATTAATACTGGAAAGAACAATAACAGCTACTGGACTTGAGAAATCTATTTTCCTTAGAAATTATTTTAAGAGAAAGATTTTATAAATTTCAACCCAAACTAGTACTGGCTGATAGGTCAGAGAATTACTTATAGGAAAACAGCTCATATTAGCATTACCGTTCATCTGACTCCAAAGCTAAAATCTGAATTTGTGTAGAGTTTACTCCTTAATTTTTTCTTTAGACAAAGATACCTACAAAGTAATAGGGTTTTTAATTTAGAGTTTTCCTTCTCCTAGACTAGCTTACATTCAAGGCAAATATGCTAAAATCTCATTTGTCCCCAGCCAACTGAGTCATTCTACCAATAGACTTTGTACTATCTGCTTGTATTTAGTTATTATGCTAGGTTTTGTATGTTGTGTTGGAATGGTGCCGTGATCTTTAAGATGGTTGACAAATTTGGGCAATGTGCCAACTTTATATTTTACATGGAGTTTGGGATATCTGGGACTGAGAGACTTGAAATTCTTCCTTGGGCTTTTGGCAATCAATCTTTAAATCAAATGGAGGTTTTTGCGTGGTCAGTATGTTTAAAGGCTGTTCAAGTATCAGTTGAATTTGATGAGTGTTCAGCATAACCAGTTAGCAGCAAATGCAAGGAATATCAAAGATTTTATGAAATGAATCCAAGGACCATAGCAGACCAATCTGTCAGCACTCACTCAATTATGGAGTTTGCCAGGAGATCTAGTCTAGAAACTGCTGATACCATCTCATACTTATCAGGTCCATTCAGGTAGTAAATGACATTATTTTACAATACAAATTGTTATATTCATTAATAAATTATTGTATCACTATAAATTGTCGTTATAATGGCTGAAAATTCCAGCAAGATGACTGCATTAGATTTTATATGAAGCATGGTAAATATGCTCCCAATACCCGCAAAATGTTTCATTAGGTTTTGGTGAATGTTCTTTAGGTCAAATAGAGGTCACTGTGTTACATGCATATTTCAGTGTTAGTCCAAGCATTCAGGGCAACCAATCAACAGCAAATGCCAGAAAATGTTAAAGAATTTTGTGAACTGATCCATGAAGACGAAAGCAGAACAATCCATCAGCGCTCACAAAATTACAACCAGGAATTTGTCAAGAGATACTGTTCCAGAAACTTTCTTATACTATCTCATATTTCACAAGTCTTTTCATTTATTAACTGACATCACTTTTTTTTTTCATCCTAAAGTTCACTTAATACCTGGCTTGAGAGTCACTCAATAGAGAATGCAGTGTATGAAAAGAATGTTAGAGGTGGTGAAATTTATAAGGAATAAGGAGGATATATAGCTATTGACTTTTGCCTTGAAAAGATTAAAATTTTCATGTTCAGGAAAGTATTCACATGGGAGTCAATTTCACAAAGTAACAGGTCTTGGGAAAAAGTTGTCTGATAGAAATTTCCAAATTCCAATTGGTATATAAAGAAAATGATGGTGGTTCAATTCTGTGGGTATAGCATGACATGTCCTAGTTGGAAAGGCTTATGGGCAAATCACACTGAAACACATGATCACCAAAATTAAGCAACATCAAGCCTGATTAGTACCTAGATGGGTGACCAATTGGGAATACCAAGTGCTGTAAACTTGGATGTGCAGGTGGTGTAATGGATAATAACTCAGAATTGTTAATCGGAACACCGAGTTCCAATTCCCATTGAGTTTGTTATATTCACTTACATGTGAATACCCTTCGGAAAGATATAAATCACATCCTGGGTATGGCGATAAACTACATCCATATCCTGGGTACAGCGATAAACTGCATCCAACAGCAAGGCCTCAGATAATGTTTTCGGAAAAATAATGTTGCCAGCTATACGTTTTTGAAACAATAATGTTACCAGCTATCCCTTTTTGAAACAATAATGTTACCAGCTATACGTTTTTGGAACCATAATGTTACCAGCTATACGTTTTTGAAACAATAATGTTGCCAGCTATACGTTTTTGAAACAATAATGTTGCCAGCTATCCGTTTTTGAAACAATAATGTTGCCAGCTATACTTTTTTGAAACAATAATGTTGCCAGCTATACATTTTAGAACCATAATGTTGCCAGCTATGCGTTTTTGAAACAAAAATGTTGCCAGCTATCCGTTTTTGGAACCATAATGTTGCCAGCTATCCGTTTTTGGAACCATAATGTTGCCAGCTATACGTTTTTGAATCAATAATGTTACCAGCTATACGTTTTTGGAACCATAATGTTACCAGCTATACGTTTTTGAAACAATAATGTTGCCAGCTATCCGTTTTTTTTTTTTATAATGTTGCCAGCTATCCGTTTTGGAACCATAATGTTGCCAGCTATACTTTTTTTATCAACAATAATGTTGCCAGCTATACATTTTAGAACCATAATGTTGCCAGCTATCCGTTTTTGGAACCATAATGTTGCCAGCTATACGTTTTTGAACGTCATGGGTATGACGATAAACTACATCTGCGTCCTGGGTACGGTGATAAACTACATCCAACAGCAAGGCCTCAGATAATGTTTTTGGAAAAATAATGTTGCCAGCTATACGTTTTTGAAACAATAATGTTATCAGCTATACATTCTTGAAACAATAA